ATATATATATATATATTACTATATAATTATCTATTTTTTTTTTTTTTTTTTTTTGCCTAGACAGCAAGCTTTCAATAGTAATTTCACTTTAGAAGGGAGGCACAAATTATTTAGTGCACAGATGGCCATTTGTGTTAATCCTGTGACTAGGGCATCAGTATTGAGAAATTCATTCCTTTAATCATTATTCATTTTTTAGCCACTTGTTCTTATGGCCAAAGGTCATGCCTTAGTAACTTCAGTGTTTCACTGTGTCACTGTTGTTTCAGTGTCTCACTAGATCGGTTGTTGCTCTCATAATAGGCTCCCAGAAGCAAACAAACAGCACATGTAAGGGATCAGGTAAGGGAATTCACTAAAGACTAAAGTTTTTGCAAAGGTTAAGAGAAGAAAAGCAGGATGGTGAGATACACACTGGGAAGCTGTTATCAGTCCTAGGCTTATGGAGGGTGTTTATTGGAACTTTGTGGTTTCCTTCTTTACCAATTACACTTCATATAGAACAAACAGACTTTGCTAAACCAAGGCCCTGAAGGGAGAGAGTCAGTGGAATCAATATTCAACTTTTGATCATTGCCAGTGCCTCCCATTGGCTGGGGTAACTGGAAGCCAGAGGCCAAGCTTGTCTAGGTAATATGTTCATTTTTTGAGTTCAGCTTCCCAAGACACATGATGGGGCTGAGAGGGTCTCCACGGACAAATGAAAAAAATCCAGCACATTCTCTAAACATTTCATGCAATGTTTTTGTGACCTGAGATGCTAATCTGAATAAACCAGGTGACTAAAATCTATGTAACCTTTAAAATGTCCCAAGTTCTGTTTAGAGGAGAAAAAGAGGAAGAAGCCATAATCATACCAAATGTGAACTGACATGAATGACATGAACGAAGGTCCTATTAGCTATTATTCATTTCCAGTTTCTCTTCAGATTTTATTAGCACTAAGCATTGAGTTCAGAAAGACCTGATTTTATCAAATACACTGTATTTTTTGATAAATTTCTTTGGGAGGGTCATTGGTTTTCTCCAGTAAAAAATTAATATGCTTCTCATATTATATTTGATTATTTTAATCATATTTCCCATTATTTGCTGTTCATTGTGTATTGTACTATTTTAAATATCTTTCACATGAATTATTTTGATTCTTACAGTAGATCCATGAAATAGGTACTACTATTAGTACAGTGTAGCTTAATTGTAAATTAAAGCACAGTGAAGTCAAATTTTCTGAAATTCACTTAGTAAGTTTCACATTTAGTGGCCTGATCATAGCATAAGTTTTATTAATGTCTGTGTTAAGCTGTATAAGACGATTTAGCTGTGAGTACCAGAAAAAAATAGAATCTTTGTAGGCATAATTCAATTAGTTTACATATTTTATTTGTGTTTTAGGTATAAACTAAGATATCATTCTTCTAAATTTGAATGTGCTATAACTGTGTATAAATATATGCTTTTCCATATTGGAAATAAGAAACAGTAAAGTTCAGAGATATGGCTAATTTGGGAGAAATTTTCTGAATTATTATTTCCAATTTGTTTTATCTAAATAAACAATTAAAAATAATTTACCACATCTTCATCAGATAGAGAACTAATCTCAAGGATATATAAAGAACTAAAAAATATTAATACCAAAAACCCCCAAATAACCCAATAAATAAATGGGCCAAGGAACTGAACGGACACTTCCCAGAAGATGATATACAATCAATAAATATATAAAAAATGTTCAACTTCTCTAGCAATTAGAGAAATACAAATCAAAATTACTCTAAGATGTCATCTCACTCCAGTCAGAAGGGCAGCTATTAAGAATATGAACAACAATAAGTGTTGGCAAGGATGTGGGGAAAAAGGCACACTCATACTTTGCTGGTGGGACTGAAAATTGGTGCAGCCAATATGGAAAGCAGTATGGAGATTCCTTGGAAAACTGGGACTGGAACCACCATTTGACCCAGCTATCCCTCTCCTTAGTCTATACCCAAAGGACTTAAAAACAGCATACTGAGGGACACATCCACATCAATGTTTATAGCAGCACAATTCACAATAGCTAAACTGTGGAACCAACCTAGATGCCCTTCAGCAGATGAATGGATGAAGAAAATTTGGCATATATACACAATGGACTATTACTCAGCAATAAAAGAGAATAAAATTATGGCATTTGCAGGTAAATGAATGGAGTTGGAAAATATAATGCTAAGTGAAGTTAGCCAATCCCAAAAAACCAAATGCTGAATGTTTTCTCTGATATGAAGATGTTGATCCATGATGGGGATGGCGGGGGTGGGGGGGCATGAGAGGAATAGATGAACTCTAGATAGGGCAAAGGGGAGGGAGAGGTAGGGAGGGGGAATGGGGTAGGAAAGGCAGTAGAATGAGATGGATATCATTACCCTAATTACATATATGAAGACACGAATGGTGTGACTCTACATTGTGTACAACACAGAGATATAAAAAATTCTGCTAAATATGTGTAATATGAATTGATATGCACTCTGCTGTCATATACAACAAATTAGAATAAATTAAAAAAAGAGAAAACAGAAAAAAATTAAAAACAAGACACATGAGGTGTTCAACAAACTCCACTCAAAAACCAAACCAGACAAACAAGCAACAATAATAAAACACACACACACACATGCACACACAAAGAAAAAAAAAAAACCAGGTTAAAGTAAAATAAGGAAGAAAGGAAAGAAAATAATACCCCACTCTACCAAATCCAATATCTCTAGACATTTGAAATGACAAACAGAATCTGGACAATTTGTGATATTTTTCTTCAGTTTCCTAACACATTCTTGTTTATTGACAGGACAGTAACATAAAGATTTGAGAATGCTTGGGAGTTAATGCATGAAGCTATAAATATAACCCATATTTATTAAGTAAGTATTGCATGCTTAAAACTCTGACCATTACTTTATATCATTATACTAACTAATCCACACAATTACCTTCTGGATAAGAAAATAACATTGAACCCATTTCATAGATAGAAAACCGAGTTGTAAAGAGACTAAATTACTTACCCAAAGCCACATAAGCTTTAAAGCAATGTTTTTTGGAATGTATTAAATACTATCCATATCAGAATCATGTAGAGGTGTTTGTTTAAAACAGGGCTGTCTCCTCAGCCTTCAAACCAAGAACCATCAGTATTTGTGATGTAATATCTCCATGTTTTAACAAACTCATTTGGAAGGTGGAGAATTATGTTCATAAATTGTATGCCCACTAGTTAGAGAAAGGAAACTGTGGGAAAGAAGGGCAATTTTTTCTTGTTATCCTGTTAAATGGTACCTGACCACATACTCCATAAATACTTCCTGAGTTATTCAGCAAAAACCAAACATAGGCCTCTTATGGAGGGGGGGGAATAGATAAAACACTTTCACGTGTTTCTTCTGCCTTCTAATCTCTGGGCCTTGTTAAGAAGCATTTCCTCATTTATGAACACCAGGGGATTTTGTGTCAACTTTGTTTTTTTGCATTGAGTCTGATCAGGAGTGGACTTAAAATAGTAACGGTATTTGTACACTTGTTGTACTGATTAAAGAGTTTTCTGAATATCTATGTCACATAATGCAAAGCATACAGTTTCTTGTGAACTCTATTAAGTGAGATCCAGACTTCCCTGTTCACTGTATTTGGTACTAATTATAGAACAGTGAACAGGGAAGTCATGGTCTCTGCTTCATAGAGTTTCTGATATAGTTAACACTATTAAGCTCATCTTAGGTTGTAGAATGGTGAGGTATATTAGCTGGGTAATATCTCATTTTAAATATGAAAAAATGGAAATTAAGGAGGTTGCATGACTAGTTCATGGCTATACTTTAGTTAAGGGACCACATTATCTAAATTTTCTCCTTATTCCACATTTAGTATTTCTAATACCTTATGCTGTATTTCTAACCTAGATATTTTGTACAGCTTAAGTCAACTAAGAGCTAATTTTTCTTGTCCAAATTTCAATTAATATGTGTGTATCTGAAGATGCAGTGAGTCATGGTATGTTCAGATAATTAAGAATGCAATACAGGAAGAGAAAATTAGTGGAAAATAGAGCAACTGATATGCAGATGATCAACTCACATGTTGGCTTCTGGACATGCAAAGAAGGGACTAGGCAAGTGGTGTTGGAAGTAAAAATAATATAAAAATGACTCCAAGGGGAAGAAAAGGAGAAATGAGCAATTTTGTGGCTATAGATTCTTCATCCAAATCTTTTATTATACAACCACCACTTCTCTGATATCTGTCCATCATTTTACATTAAAGCAGTTGTTCCACCTTTGACAAGCCAGCCTTCTTCTCACACATTAAATAATGTCTGTCCTTACAGAAGGCAGGGCGGATTTTCCCATTGTGAAAATAAGCACAATTCATGTTTTCTGTTTCATCTCCAGAAAGATCAAGCCTGTGAATAAAAAAGGGTAGAGTGCATGCCTTTGAAAAATGAATAAATAATCAAGAGTCAAACCCTGGGTGCAAAACACTGTTGCACAAACTGGAGACGACAGGAAAAATGTAAAAACAAAAGCAGCAG